GACGGGGCTCGTACCGACCACCTGAACATCGGCTTCTGCCTCAACATGAACATTCCCTGTGTCACTCTGACGAAACCGAGTGTGAAGTCTGGCTTTTCTTATACAGCTTTTACCAACCCTAAACCCTGAACCCTGAACCCTAAACCCTAAACCCTAAACCCTGAACCCCCTGAACCCCTAAGCATGACGGGTGCGTGGCATGGCAGGCAGCAGGGCCAAGGCCTTCAGCAGGCGCGTGGCCCGAGCCTGCGGGATACATTCTTTGAGTGTTTTTTGCAAGTTTTTTCGCATCTTATGTGACATCCGGACCCGGAGAGTTTTTCTGGAGTTTTCTGGTTGTGCCATTTTTTCGATGTTGTACATGTGTTCCAGGGCTACATGCTACTGCAGCAAGTTGCGCCGATCAGCGACGACCAGGCACCATCAAGATGGGTGCTTCTGCTTTCCACAATGGTTTCCTGAAGGTTTATCAGGTCGTCCATAAGTACGGGCAAGGAGTGAACCCAGCGCGAACTGCTCAGTGTGGCCTTGCACCGTTCATCGGAGTCGCAGTTTCTGCCTGGTCTCTGTCAGGGTCACGGCCATGACGGGCAGTCCAGAGGATCTCTTCTCCAACCAGCAGGGCTTGCGTGTCTTGTCGTCCCTGGCTTACACGACCCCTTCCTCCCAGATTTCAAACATCAGCGCAGAAGTGTCCACCACATTGCTATGAGGTATTGGGGCTCAGATCCGGGCCGAATGCAGGACTGCCCGGGTTGGTCGCGGGGTGTTTGCTTTGTCTTTCTGTTCTTCTTGGTCATCGCCCAGGATGTCTACCAAACTGGAGGTTTTCCGCCAGTGATCCATGCTATGCAGCAGTTTCCTGAGGACACACGCGGGCTTTAGCAGTGTGTGGCGAGAGCGATGTCAAGTCAAGTTTGTCTCGTCCACAGGATGCAGGCGTTGGGAGGTACGGGGTGCAGCCGCCTCCTTTCATGGCCATCAGAGTTTGAGGCCATGGCCCCTGGCGGTTCCCGTGCCCGAAGAACCAAGGTTCCTGTCACATGCCGCCAACACCAGCACCGAGGCATCCTCTGGCATTTTTACTTTTTGTCAGAGGTTTCTTGTGCGTCGACGCTTTCGCTGACTCGTGGGTTTCCGCTTTTTCCTCAGTACATGCGGGAGCTTCATCATCTTGGAAGCGTGCCGATAGTAATCAGGCCGGGGCCTCGGATTCGGCTCCCTCCACGGGTCCACGGGCCACGATCTCGCTTGGCTCTGTGGCCGAGGCAGATGAATCAGTTCCCGCAGGACAACTTCCTGCAGCAGTGCGACACTCAATCGACCTACACTTCAGACTCCAAGTGTACCCGACAAGTGCCTTCTACTGGGCCCTGGCCTTTCGGCCTGGATCTTCTATATTCTGCTCAGTCCATAGAACTCACAGATAGAACGATGTGTGTGTTGGTATATACTAGACACTATTTTACATCGTAGCACATGAATGCGCAACAGTCTTCATGGTATGTACCCTATATGATGTCCGCGGTCTGCCAGGTATGGTTGCCAGTATCTGTGCTCCATGGCTCAGATCCCGGAAGTGCGCGACGAAATTCTGAAGGCTCCACGATGCCAGCACCAGTCTTATGTGGAATCGAGTCATCGCTATGCATATCTGATGGATGTAGTACCTCTGTAAATATGAGACGGTGTATAGAGATACTCGCATCAGGCAACACGTGTACATCTACACATGCACGTCTAGCTGTCTGTCTATCTATCGATCTATCTATCTATAAATCTATCTATCTGGCTAGCCAGCTAGCTAGAGCTAGCTAGCCAGCTAGCTATCTATCGATCTGTCTATCGATCTATCTACCGATCTATCTGGATACGTATATGATTTATACGTCTATCTATCTTTATGAGTGTTCATGTCTACCTTGCTTTCTGCACATGCGTAGATAGAAGGACAGTAGAAAGACGGATCAGATGTATCACACATGTACACAGATTAGTTGTAGTCTGTACAAAGTCTTCCTTGTACAACACCGTCGCATACGGGATTAACCAGATATAGATAGATCTGCATACTTACATGGCTACAGGAAATTCATGTGCTTCTCTGCTGCCGGCTCGAAGGGGGATGGGCAGAGCATGGACGATATTTTCGGCGCATGCAGCGCCTAATTGCAAAGGCTGCCCTTCAAAACAGAGCTCCAGACTAAACTCGAAGGCTTCTTGATGTAAAATGACTACATGAAGCACGTGGGGCAAACAAGTGGCATCCCCTGCCAACTCAGAGCCTCGCGCATGGCTCGGAGAACTCATTTGAGCATTTCGAGCGGTGCAGGGCGAGGCGCTCTACTCATCCTACTTCCCTGAGAGCTGCGTTTAGACCAGCATTGGCTGCCACGGCAGGTGGTTGCTGATGGTTGAAGATGAGCCGGTAGCGGCTTCGAGCAAGTGGTTTAATTTCTTGGCTGACGGAGGGTTGTGGTACACATCATTGAAGGGAGAGCGAATGTCATGAAATCTTGCGGTCTCAGGCACGGACGCCAAAGTATGCAAGCTTCAGCCCTAGCAAGAAGGCAGAAGAGGAAACGAAAGCGGCGACCTCGGGAAAAGTTGTGCGCAACATGCAGACACTTTCAATGCCGTCACGTGCTTGCTATACTTACCTTAAAGTCGCGAGATGCTTCAGCGAGATCCAGGTTGGCACTGTCGATGTCAGCTATGTGGACCCCTTGTCTCAGAAGGTTTCCAGCAAAGATGCTCGGAGTATCGGTCACTGCTTTGAGTCGGAACTGAAGCGCTCATATCGATAGCTTTCTTGACGGACAGTACTGCAAGCACCCAGAGATTGATGGACAGATGGCCCAGGAAGTCTATGTAGATCCGGAAACGTGGTCGATGCGTGCCAACACCATGTGCCATCCCCAGTTCACGGCAGTCGAGCCTGTGCGGTCCATTCTACGATGGTGCCAGGCGTTTCCTTATCAGCGCCGACCTTGTGAACCTTGTGACCGAGTCACAAATGGTGCGGCACAAGCGCTTCAGGCGCGTCGGAGACTCCGAAAGTGTGCGAGAGCTGAGCGCTTGTGAGAGCTGTGCGAGAGCCGACTGCAGGAAGGCCAAGAAGATCATGGAGGAGACGCGCCTGGCGTTCCTGGTGGATTTGTGGAAGCTCCGAGGGCCGCGACCTGGGTTTTTTTCGGCTCGAAGGACGGGACCTTGAAGCCTTCAAAATGATGTTTCAGCCTTCGTGAGGTTGGTTGGCAGAGTGCATCGAGCCGTTGAGGTCGAAGAGGCCGGGCTTGGGGGGGTTTGCAACGGAGGGCTCGTGTCTGCAGTCCTGGCGTGCTTTGGTAGGAGCTGGCGGCAGCTGCTCTCGACGAGCCCTGCTGGGAGCTCGTCTTTTGTGGTGGCCGGAGTGGCAGACCTCTACCGTCAGCCCCACGGTGCAGGTCCCGTTCGCTTCTTCGTCCCCGAGATGTACTTCGACGATGCTTGGCGAAAGGGAGAGACGGATGGAGACTGCTGGTGAAAGCTTCGTGTAGTTCAGCGCGACCACACCAAGGATCACACGCTGGACTGCATCACCAAAGCAGGGGCAGGTTTCTCGGTCTGCTGCTCAGAGCTCTGTGCGGTGACCTGCAAGAAGAAGAACAGGAGCTTTCTCAGCTGATCGCTTAGGGCCATCTTCTAGACGAGATCCGGATCTTGCAAGAGCGATTGGATCTCCTTGGCGGAAAGAACTGGCAGGACCCTGAGCAGTCCCTGATTCAGGGAGCTCATTTTCATGCGGGACTCCCCGGCACTTCAGGTTCTAGCATTATACGCAAAGCAATCGAGGCGGCAGATGCCAAAATGTGCCCAGATTGCAGGAGGGTGCGCGTTGCGTTGAGACCTTTCTAGGCAGCAAAGGCCTCGGACAAACAGGACAGGAGTCAACCGAGACACTCACAGCAGCGTTCGGGGTGGTTTCTGACTGCTGCAGTGTGCTTGACAGGTGTCAATGCATCGTTAGCAGGGCAAAGAAACCTGCCTTCACCAGCAGCAGCCCACGAAAGCATCATGGCCATGAGCCAAAACATGCCAAAACGTCCGAAAGTAAGAAAGGCGAAGACGATCACTCGCCAGCAGCAGTCCAGACTTGCCATCGCGATCAGCATCGGTATGCCATGAGACGCAGCCCTTTTATTCTTCTTGTCGATGTATTTGTGGCTATCCTGTTTGTGTGTGTGCTGCCATGCCTTCTTGGCGATGTTTTTGTCCCTGCCGTTTGCGCGGGCTGCTGCTCCTTCCTGGCGACGCGTTTGCCCCTATGCTGTTCTCCGTTTGCATACGCGGCTGCTCCCTCTTGCCGATGTGTTTGCCACCTTTCGCCCCCTACAGTATCTAATTCGTGTCGGTTGCTGCTCGTTGCCGGTGCGTTGGAAACAACATTTATGGGGGCAGGGTTCGCCCCATCTGTTTGGTCCTATCCTATTCACGTCGTGATGACTGTGTGCCTTGTTTGCCGATGCTAATGTTCCGTGTGCCTCTGTCCTGTTTGTGTGACGCCGATGTGTTTGCCCTTATCATTGTCCATCGCCTATCCTGCGGGCTGCCACTGGTAGTTTGTCGTGGCTGGCGCTACCGATGTGTTTACCTCTGTCATTGGTGAATTGCTAGTGGTGCCTGCTTGTCGCAGGAGATAGATACAAGGACTCCAGATCAAAGTAACCAAAAAGGCAGAGATATATGGAGTCGTGCAGACTTTGTGCTGATGCCTGTCGTCTTGCTTGTGCTTCGTGCCGAGGCGAAACCTACTGGCCTATGCGTTAAAGTACATGAAGACCACTGAGATCGGCGAGATTGTGGTGGATGCCTTTCCGGACGGAGCTTAGTCGAGCCGAGCCCGTTTCCCCTAGTTTGTGGCAGTGCTCGGAGAGGAAGCACAGAGCACAGAGCACCGCAGATCGACACTCCCCGGCTCCATAGCTGTAGCCGCTGTAGCCGCAAGGCCCTGCTAGTAGCCGAAATTCTTTGCCTGCTCGCAGAGCTGCGCAGGACGTTTCCACCCGTCGGACCGTCGAAAATGCGGCTCCAGCCTCAGAGAGAAGGTCAAAGATAGGCTGAAGCCTTGCGGGCCTTGCGGCCTTGCACTGTGCTCAGATTACCCGTGGCTTGTGGGACCAGATCGAGGAGCCCTGGACTCAGCGTTGGTCTTCTCCGTGTGGCCCGGACATCTTTGCAGTCATAATTCAAGTCAGCAGCATCAACGGCTTCCCAAGAGAAGACGGAGGTTGCAGCCGGTGGTGGACGACTTGGAGGCCGAAATGGTGCAGATGTGCCGGCCTGAGATTTTGGGCCTCCGAAGTGACCCCACCCCACTGGGCTCCTGCGACTAAGTTTTGAGGAGACTTCTGGAGGATTGCGACGCCAGAGTCGAGGCCGTCCAGGAGGCCGGCCGTGTCTAGATAGAAGAATATAGAAGAGTTGTGCTGCACAGGATCTTGCGTCCTAATCTTGGGAGCCGGGGAGCAGCCAAGATCACAACCAACGGCCAACAACAGGATTGTGTCCGGAATGTTGGGACGTGCTCCAATTGCACGGAGCGACACAGTCCAAGAATTCGAAGACAGTTTGCCCCAGTGCAACTTTCGACAGAATCCACGGAGCTTCAGCCGTATTTGATTCTTGGATTGTGTCGGTTGGCATTGGGTGTTGTCGAACATCGTGAGTGCGTGTACGGCGTGTCTGTGGGTGCGCACGTGTATGTGGATGCACATGCAGAGTTGGACATGCCCATGATCGTATCAATTTTGTCATGCGCTGGTACTGAGCGGCGAGGACATTGCCAGGAAGCTGGCTGCCATCAGCTCCTTCAATGAGTGCTAGCCTGAGCCGTCGGCACATCAGATGAGCGCTAGTTTGTGGTGTGCACTGGTCGGGGCAGACATGGATCCGCTAGATACCTGCCGATATCGCAGTTGGATTTTGAAATGTAGTTTTGGGTTTATGATGGTTCGGGCTGCATTGTATGTGTATACACAGCGGCGCACACAGAGGCGTGCCTACTTGGAAAATTGGAAACTTAACGGCAGAAGATGACACCGCAAGCAGGCGACACGTGACAGCGGTGACCAGGCTTCAGGACATCCGGAAAAGAAACCCTGATGTAACCGATGTGAAGTTGTGCTGAGCAGGAGCCAGATCCGGTGATTCCTCCCGACTCTGCGTCTGAGCTCTGCACTCAGAGCCAAAGTCACGACCATCGGCCAAGATTCTTTTGCAGTGTCGTATTCCTGTTCCGTTGTGCCCTCGTCTGAATCAATCAGGGCCAAATAGACAGGGACAGCG